CAACACCTTTTGATCAATCTGATTACCTCTTGTCTGATACAAATAATAATATGACAACAAGTCGTCCAACAACGCCGTTTTCTCCATTCGATGGTATTTCACCTCCTCGAGACAAAAATAATAGCAAAAAATACTCATTTCCAACAAATCAAGAACAAGTTTCATCAGGTAAGAATTGACCCTGAACGCATATGAGTGTAAATAAAATTATTATTCTTTTTTTATTTTTTAGCTGAACGTATGGATGATACCGACAGTAAGAAATAAACTTTGAGGCAGGAAAAAGTTCATCTTTCATCCTTTTATTGTTGCTTGTAGAAAAATTTGACAATAATAGTCGAACAATTCCATTTCCAGTATTACTCTGTTCCGCTAACGGCAATAGTGTCCTTGGTGTCGTTGAACCATCGTTACTTCGTAAATGTTTTTTGCTTGGTATGTCTGTCTCATCATCAACAGCATTAACGGCAAATTCATCACCATTACCACCCACAACAATAACAACAAATATTGTCAACAATAAACAGGAAGATAATAACAATAGTTTATCAACAACAATTTTGTCAAAATATCCAAATAGCAACGAAAACAATACAAATTATAGCGATAGATATTCACAACCATATAATTCAGCATATCATTCATCTCCAATAACAAAAAATCTTCTATCAATGAAAACAACGACAACAGTTCAAAGCGATGGTGAATGCAACATGTAAGTTTATGATCGATTGAAATTATGAAAAGTACGAATAAAGATATAGTTTTCAGCATAAAAGATATATTCTTAGTGATAGTAGAAATTAAATCATTCTATACGATATTCGTCCTATATTTTTTGTTGTAGAAATATTTTATCTGGCGTGAATAATGCTCCAAGTGTACCGTCGACAGATAAAATTGTGAGAAGTAGAAAACCCAAAAAACGAACAAATAATGGTCCAAAATCGAAGAAAACAACTACAGCTACTACTACACAACCAAGCACTGATGAAATGATAATTGAAAATCAAGATCATGAGGAAAACAGACAGCAAGATTTAGTCACTACCATTGGAAATGATGATCAACAACGTATTCATTTATATCAATTGCTTTGCGATATATTACAACAACCAGAAATAAGTCGTTTATTACGAGATTATTCTGAATCATCAACAAACAATGGCGATTTATCATCAACACCAACAGCAACAATTCCTCCACAGCTCATGGCCATTGTGTCCTTTGCTAATGCGTTGTATAATAACGATACATCGCAATTAACATCAGCAATGAAAATTGACGGTGGTGGAATTGAAACAATTCAAGAAGTGAAAGAAGATGAATATGAAACAGTCGTACCATCGCCGAATATTCAGTTGCCAGATGATCAAATACAACAGGATATTCAAGATTTAAGAATGTTGAGTCATGGTGAAGCTACAACACAAGATCAGGAAAATGATATTCAGTTATCTGAACATGAAATGTTGTTATCTAGTTTAAATGAATTGACACAAAATATAGATGACGAATCTCTCACGCGTTTATTATCGGTCATAGATCCAAATATTTTAGCGGCTATTCTTTCAACAGCATCTCAAGAACAGACGATGACCGCTACAACAGTAGCAAAGAATGATGAGCAACAGCAAGATAATCAACAGGATGAAATACAACAAATAATATTGGAATTATTTCGTAAACAGAAATTATGTAATTTAGTGACTGCTGCTGGTTGTTTAAAAAATGATGAGCAAACTACGAGTATGTTGCATTTTTGATATTTCACTTAATTCTATACCTGTTCCGTGTAGACGTAATTAATCCTATCAAACATATAAAAGTAGAAATTTATATTTCGAATACTTTTATTTGCTTTTTTAACTAATAAAACTCATGATATTGCACGTTTGTATCAGATGAGATTCTGCCGCTATAATGTATCACTAGTAGTGACTCACTACTATACCGTTGTTCGCTTGAATTCCAGCGGACACTGGCTCTGCTTAGAATCACAGAATATATAGATAGTTTTAAAATGATTCTATGTTGTTTTTATAAAATGTCCAAATACTCGTAAATTTAGATTAAAACATGTTAGCATAAGAGAGTCCAGAGAGTTTGAAAAAACTATCTGTTTATTCTGTGGTTTCGAGCAGAGCCAATTTCCATTAAAGTTTGAGCAAACAATGGTATAGTCGAAATACATTAAAACGGCAGGATCCATCAGACACAATTGTACAATAAACTAACAGTTCACTTCAGTTTTTACATAGTATACGTTGATACTCAAACATGAAAATGGATGCTTACAATTAAGTTAGCGATCATCTTGTTGTTACGAGTATTCTTAAATTTATAAACGTCATCTATGTTTTATCATTCCAGACGAGACTCAAGAAAGTGAACAAAATCAGCAACAAGAACACGATTCTTATAGTAACACCAGTATCCAACTTATTTCAAATTCATTAGTGTTATCGTCTGACACACCATTACTAGAAGACAAAGATACTACGACTTCGTGTTTTGACTCAAAATTAAATCCACTCGAAATAGTGAAAAATGAAAATGAAAACAAACAGCTATTCAATGATAAAAAGCAAATAAAACGTCCAGTTTCAAGTCAACAAGAAAAAAAATTAAAACGAAAAATGTTTTCTTCTGCACCATCATCGCCAGTTTTTATTCAACAACCATTTGGATCTACAGAATTAATTAGTCGAATTGAATTGTCATTAAAAAACTCGAAAACAACTGTGAATGACGATGGACGAAATAGTACCGATGATTCTGTAGATAAAGAAGTTGAAAATTATATGTTTGGAAATATTGGTAAACGAAAAACGGATCTTACTGAAGAAGAAAACTCGGTAAAAAGACTTAGAAGTGACAGCATTGATGAGAATGAACAACAACAGCAAATTTCTCCACCGTTATTATTACCAACTATTATCGAACATGAAATTCTAGAACCAGAAATGTAAGTTGATAATTGAGAAGAAAAGCATGACGAATGAAATAAAAGACAATAACTATCTGAAGAGATATTCCATTCCTCTATT